CGAAGCCGATGTAGGACATTTTTCAAGAGTCACATTATGATATGAGGCGTTGTCTATTACTAAGACTGAGTTGGAAGGTAAATTGGGAAGAAGTTTGTCTTTCAACCACTTCATATAATTCTGGTGATTCATGTCATCATGATAATCGCCAGTTTTTTGTCCGGATTTGAAAATGAGAGCGGCATTTTCGACAAATCCATTTTTACCACCACAATGTAAGATGATCAGTCATTGCCCTTTAGATACCGGAGATGTTATGCACTTGTTTCATCCATCATCCTAACCTTTTGGAACTGTGTGGGAACTATGTATATAAGTTTCGTCACTATATATAATATTTCTATCTAAAAAAAAATTGTGAATTACTTTAAAATTAGTTATAATGTAAATAAATAAATATCTTACTTTCAGATTTGTACTTTTTGAGTTTTCTTAGAAATTCTGTTCGTTTGGCTCTTATGTCAGTTTTTTTAATTAAAATTTTTCTATTGTCTTCCACTTTTCTCCACCTAAATCCTAATTTCTTCACAATTTTTCTGAAAGAAGATAATTTACCAGTTACAATTCCTTCGTTTCTAACAGATTCGTAAACAGCTTTCATGGTAGGTCTTCTTTTGTGGATAGTAGCAAACGTGTAAATGGTATTTCTTATGACGTGTTCCTCAAATGGATTGACTGATGACTTGGGGCTGGGCTCAGCTCAGCAATTGTGAAGTTGCTGGTTTGTTTTTACCTTCCTTAATTATCCTTTTTACCGTACTTTCTGAGGTACCAGTTGCTTGAGCCACTCGCTCTATTAGGGGTAAAGCAGTTGTGCAATAACCCAAATCTTTTTCCCGTTTCATAAATAAATAAACGTTAAAAATAATTTGCCTCCCTTGTCCATGGACCACTTTTCTATTGTTACTTTTCCTGTAAAACCGGTAGGTCTTAAATAATAGATAAAATGTTAAATATTAGTTAAGTTTAAGAAAAACATTTAAAAAAAATGTTTTTCTTCTTCAAGAATTGACAAGAAAATTACTTTAAAAGTATGTAAAGCATTTAATTTCTAGCAAAGATCCTTTGGCTTTATACATTCTAGAAACTAAATGCTTTACACACTTTTAAAGCACTTTTCATTTTAATTTATTAATTTATGACAAGCGTTTACAAAACATATCAACCTTTTGCAAAAAATATTAAAATAAACAATAAAGTTATCAGATTTTACACACTTTTAAGAGTGATTTTTTTTTAATTCATTAATTTGTCGTAAGTGCACAAAACATAAATTATTTGCAAAAAAAAAATATTAAAATAAACATAATTTAACTTACATTTTTATTATCTCACTGTAAAATGTTAAAAACGACTTGAAACCAAATTTTGCCTCTCTTGTACCCGTGCCTCCTCTGACGCCAAACTGCGTTTGATCTATCTGCTCCTCACATTTCTTATAAATTCGGTTTTGAACAATTTTCAAGAGAATCTTTAAAAGATGGCACATCAGGCTTATTAGTCCATAGTCATTACATGATTTGGGATAGTTTTTTTTTTTTTTGGTAGAGGCAAAAATATCGATTTAAGCATTTCCTCCGGGATGTTGCCCTCTACATATATGTGGTTGAGAAGTCTGATCTTCTTCTTCATGTACCATGTCCTTTCAGAACGTTGGTTACCATCATAGCTATTTTAATTTTATTCACTGCCACCCTAAATAGCATGCTTGTATCTACACCATACCAATCTCGCAAGTTCTTCAACCATGAGGTTCTTCTTCGTCCTGGACTGCGTTTGCCTGCTATTTTTCCTTGCATGAAGCAATCTATATTTGGGACCTCTCATTACATGTCCGAAATATTCCAGCTTTCTCTGCTTGATGCTTTTTATGATCTCAGTAGTCTTGCTGAGACGTTCTAGTAATGTGGAGTTACGAATCTTCTCCACCCAGGAAACTTTTAAAATTCTTCTATAGCACCACATTTCGAAAGCCTCAAGGCGATTTAGATCGATTTTATTCACAGTCCAGGACTCGACAGCATAAAGTAAGACCGAGAACACGTAGCAGCGAAGTAGGCGGATCCTTAATGCCAATTTTAGGTCTCTGTTACATAACACCTTGGACATCCTTCTAAAAGCAGCTCTAGCCTGCTCTATTCTGGATCTAATTTCGCCGTGATTTTCTGCATTACAATTTAATTGCTGTCCAAGATAGACGATTTTATCAACTTGCTCAAGTTTGGTATTATTTACATATATAGACGGTTTTATATTCTGTTCTTTACTTATTACGAGTATTTTGGTTTTCCTTATGTTAAGATCCAAACCTGCCTCCCTACAACTCTCAACGACACTATCAAGTAGTGTTTGCAGATCTTCTTGACTAGAAGCTAGGAGTACTGTATCGTCCGCATATCGCAAATTATTGATGACTTCACCGTTCAGAAGTATTCCTTCTTGTTTTTCAGAAAGTGCTTTTCTAAAAATTCTTTCAGAGTAAACGTTAAAAAGCAGGGGTGACAAGAGGCATCCCTGCCGTACTCCTCTTTTAATATTGAGAGCTTGTAATTCCACACCATCTACTAAAACTGATGTTGTTTGATTCCAATATAAATTTGCAATTTTTCGAACATCTCTGCCGTCCAAGCCAATGTCTTTTAGAGCTTCGATCAATATAGAGTGCTTAACACGATCAAATGCCTTTTGAAAGTCAATAAAACAACAGTATATGTCTACAGATATATCACGACATCTTTGAGCAAGTACGTTCATTCCAAACAGTGCCTATCTCGCTCCAAATCCGTTACGGAAACCAAACTGAGTGTCATCCAGGTATTCCTCACATTTATTGTAGATACGACCATGTATTACCTTCAGAAAAATTTTCAATAAGCGGTTTAACAAACTGATGGTTCTATAATCAGCACAGGTTTTTGCTGTTGTCTTCTTAGGTAGAGCTAAAAACAGTGAGTTAGACCAATCATTAGGTAGTTGTCCGCTGGTATAAATGGTATTGAAAAACGAAGTTATAGCCTCTAAAACATTGCTATCATTTATAAGCTTATATATTTCAGTTGGAATTTCATCAGGACCAGTCGCTCTGCCATCTTTTGATGATTGTATGGCCTTTATAACCTCACAGCGTGTAACTAGGGGTCCGTCGCAGTTAATAATATCGGGAGGTGAACTACTCCTATCGTCTTCGAATAGGTTCGTGACGTAATTTTCCCATTCTTTAAGTTTGTCCTCTACTTCGAATATTACTTTACCATTTTCATCCTGTAGCAATGCATTTTGTTTCTTATTGAAGATACCAGCCGCTTCTTTTACTTTTTTATACATGTTAAACGTGTCGTATCTTTTTTCGAGTTCTTCAATGTCATGACACTGTTTGGCTAGATGTTGACTCTTTGCTTCTCGTATTTTACGTCGAATTTCTTTTTGTATGCTATTGTAAAGTGTTTCGTTGGTTTTTGCTAGTCGCCGTTGTTCCATCAAATCCAGTATATCATCTGTCATCCAAGCTTGCTTTTTTGGCTTTGACCTGCCTTGTAAATTTCTCACACAGATTTCTTTTACTGTCGTTACGATTTTATTTAAGCCCTCATCGACGTTTTCACCAATATTTTCCCAAATTAAATTTTCGTTCAGTTGTCTTTGAACTGATTCTGACTCATCCGACTGAGAAGTCGGATGAGTTTATATTACCCTCATCTAAGGCTTTTAACAGTTCAACTGGAACCTGATCAGGATCCGGTGCTTTTCCTTGTTTTGCATTCTGTAGGGCATGCTTTATTTCTGAGGGTAAAATTTGTAGGTATTGTTCTTCTTCACCTATATCTTGTTCATTTTCCCTCCCGTCATGGAACAGACGGATTATTCCCATTATTCCTTTATTTTGCTCTCTTCAGTAAGTATTCTTCAATTATTATCTCTTGTTATGAGTGTTCTTCTTTGTCTGGTGTTGCCTGTAAGTTCTTTCATTTTTTTATGTAAGTTTGAGGTGTCATGTTGCTGAGTTCTTCCAGTTCCTGGCATTCCTTGTTCATCCATTCCTCCTTAGCTTTTCTGATTTCATATTTGATCTTATTCTTGATGGTTTTATATTTATTTCCATCTTTATTTTTGTATTTTCTTTTTTCAGATATTAGCTCAACTATTTCCGGTGTCATCCAGTCTTTTTAGTAGTTTTCTCTTCTTCGCCTAGGAAGTTTTCTCCTGCTTCTAGTATGCCTTTTTTCATATCTGACCATTCCACGCTTCCTTCAGTTAATTTATTTATCTCTGCGTTTAGTTGCTGTTGGCAGTTGTCGTCTTTTAGGTTTTTGATGTTTATTTTGATGGTTTTAACTTTTTTCTCTGGTTTTCTGAGTTTAATGTAGTTTATGGTAACCGAGATGAAATCGAAACAGAAGCTGAATTACAGGAACGAATTGTTGATGTTGCAAAAACTATCCGACGTAATTTAGTTAACTATGGCATTACGAACAATTGGATTCGTCCTATTAATGCAAGGTGTAGTTCGCTTTAACTATTTATTTTAATAATTATTCTCAAGTAAGTACAAGTATATAATTTAATTTTAGTTCACAAGTAAACAAATTACTGATAGTTCGAGTGAAGTGTAAAAAATAAATTAGAATTATTAACCTTCGGGAACTGGATATACACGTAAAATAATTTCGTGCCCTTACAACGGGAACCGACTAAGTATGCTTAACTTTTTTCGGCATTCGCTGCGTAAACCGTATGAATCAGTTACTGCTTACGTATTGTATGTTGTGTATATAAAAGAGTTAATCATGTTAAAATATCACGTATTAATCATGTTTTAACGTATTGGGTCTTCAATTTTTGAAATTTTCAAGAAATCATCAATATTCTCAGTTCGTTATTTTTTACAGGCTTTTGACCACGTTGTATTGCGTTTCAACCAATGTGGTTGAAACATCCTCATCAACTGAACAGTGAATGAGGATGAGAAGACAATATATGAGATTTAAAAATCACTACAATATATATAAAAGTAGTTTTATTTCACTTAAAAACTAAAAAAGTATAAAAAAACATAGCTACAATACTGTCAGTACCCCAGATAAAACCTTTAATATAAAATAAAAAATATTTATGTATCTTCTTTAACTTTTTTATCAAGCTGTAGGAGATTGCTGCCTCAATCTTTCCACGTCATTAAAAATAACTTGTGCACCTCCTCCAGTCGTAGGCAAAATATCAGCTTTGTAGAGTTTGGTTTCGAGTTCACCGTCAGTATCTTGTTCCTGGGCTAATAAACAATATTTTGACTGTTTGGAGTTCAAGATATCCGAAGCTTTGGTGAGCTTGGACACAGACTTGCGTTTCTTCATTGAAGGTTGTAATACTGTTCCTAGCGGTACCGGCTGAATGGAGTTATGTTCGAGCCAAAGCTAAAATAGAAAATATTTTAATTAGGTAATAAATAGAAAATGCTTATAATCTAAAAAATAATTATTTAACCATTGATATAACAAAATAATTTACACGGTACATTTAAATTTAGCAATTACACAAAATAGTATGCTGCATAATCTGATAAAAGTAGTTTCCAAGAAAAAATGGAGAGCTGATGCTACTGTATCATATACATTCTCCAAAACATATATTCGTTCCACATTGGACTATGGCTGTACATTATATGGGATCTAAAACGAATCTAACAACTATCGATCGTATACAATACAAAACTTTAAAGGTTGAGTTTACCGAAAGTACAAGCTGATTATAGCCGCAAATGTCAACCATGGAACAAAAAATTTCGGTGAAGCAGTGTTGGCATGCAGCGGCGGCTCGTGCCCTAAAAAAGTGGTGAAGATGAGGAAAGCTTGCCGGAGCCAAAAGGAGATTTGGTACCTACGTCGCGCCTAAATCTCATTAAAAATGTCGATATAATAGACTATATTTCAAAATATTGTCGCTGCGAATACTAAATAGGTATCCATGCAACTAGTGGCCAGTGGGTGAAGACGGATAATATATTTTTAACGGAACTGCACTAAGCTATTTTTCACAACTATCACTAGCGACAGGCTGACGTCACGTTACCATGGCAACCGTGAATGCTTATTCAGATGGATTTCGAATTTCAAAAATCATATTCACCTATTCCTGAATCATACACAGCAAGTGACACAGGTCAGGACTTGACCGTCAAATACCTACCGCACCGCTAATAAAGCTAGCTGTCTTTTTTAATTTTTAGATTAATGAAAAGAGAATAAATAATGGATTTCAGAATTTGGATATAATGTTGCCTTTATTTTTTATTTATTTGTCTTAATTTAATTATATTTTTTTGGTAAACCTCACCTTCACCTACTTCACCTGGCCGGCCGCCGCTGTTGGCATGTTTTTATAATGTAGATGCTGTATACTTCAAATATAAAAAGATAAAGCTTTAGAGGGGTGTAGGGTTGCGTTATAGAGGTAGTACCTTATATCGGAACGACCACATCGAGCGTCATAGACGGGAGATGGTTCTTGATATCTGGTCCTCATAAGGCAAGTAACTCTCACTTATGGCTCCACGTGCCACACCCCGGGCAACTGCATTGGTCTGCAGGCTAAACTAAGTGAGGGTAACCAGATATGGTGAAAATTTACCGAAAGATTACCGGTATAAGTAATCTCCCAGTTATTGGCCAACAGCTGAGGGTGGATGAGCTGACAGGTGGTAGGGCAACTCATTGTCCTGAGGCTGAGAAATCGACCTCAAAGGCGGAAGAGCTAATATATTAGTCAACGGCATTGGGATGTAGCAGGCAACGAGAAACCACTACAGTAAAGATCCAATGGATATCTCTAGTATAGTTATCATGGCATGATAAATAATCAACAAAATCTTACTGATCATGGAGATCGGAGGCCAAGATCCGACAAGAAAAGTGACAAGGCTTTTCGGGTCGTCAACCAGCGAAAACCTTGTCAAAATATAAATATTACCAACGAAATAATGAAAATTGGAACATGGAACGCTACCAGCATGTATGAGCCAGGAAAAACACACAACGTTATTCAAGAAATGCAAAGAATGAATATTAGCATTTTGGGTATAAGCGAAACCCGATGGTCGGGAAATGGATGCTGTCATATTAAAGATCACATAATCTACTACTCCGGTAACCCCCCAACATCGTAATGGAGTGGGTATAATGTTAAAAAAGTCTCTATCTCGTCATGTCCTGAACTTCCTACCTTTGTCCGATCGTGTTATGATGTTAAAAATAAATACAAACATCACAAAAATGAATATAATACAAGTATACGCACCAACAGCGGACAAAGAAGAACATGAAATAGAAACATTTTATGAACAAATTGACTCGGCATTGAAACTGACCAAAAAAAGGGACATCACAATAATAATGGGAGATTTGAATGCTAAAGTTGGGAAAGGAAGGGGAAATGATTTGGTAAGAAATTTTGGATTAGGGAATAGGAACGATTCTGGTGAAAGACTGGTATAATTTTGCCAGGAAAACAGAATGGTAATTACAAATACCTTTTTCGAACTACCCAACAGACGTTTATACACATGGAGATCTCCACAAGACACAGAACATCACATAGTGAGAAACCAAATAGACTATCTACTAATCAATGAAAGATAAAGAAACAGCATAATGTCAATTAAGACATACCCTGGTGCAGATATATCATCTAATCATAATCCACTAGTTGCAAGAATGAAAATAAAATTAAAGAAAATTAATAGCACAACCCTCAAAAAAGCAGTTGATATCAACAAATTACGAAAACCAGAAGTAAGAGAACAGATGATACAAGAAATTGATGAAGCAGTAACAAAGATACAACCCATAAAAGACAACACAAAAGTTAACATCAATGAAAATTGGACAGACATTAAAACAGCGTTAATGAAACCAAGCATAAGTCACCTCCATAAAAGTAAAGAATATAAAAAAGAATGGATGACAGATGAGATACTGAACTTAATGGATGAAAGAAGAAAACAGAAAAACAAAAAGAACCAGAAATATAAAGAGATACAAAAAGAAATTCGTCTAAAAATACGCACAGCTAAAGAAAACTGGTACGGGGAAAAATGCGAAAGAAATCGAACAAATACAAAATAAACACGACAGCTTTAATGCACATCGAAAGATCAAAGAGTTGACGAGGAGACAAAGTAACAGACACAACATATTAGTAGACGAGAGTGGAAACATTATTATGGACACAGAAGAAAAATTAAGAGTCTGGAAACAGTACATAGAACAACTGTTTAAAGATCAAAGAGACAATGTAGATAACGAATACATAAACAGTGACACAGGACCAGAAATAACAAGAGATGAAGTGGAATACACGATTAAAGAAAGGAGGTCGGGGAAGGCTACAGGCCCAGATGAACTACCAATAGACATAATTAAACTCATCAAAGGCAACAACTTAATAAAGATCGTGAAACTATTTAACAGCATTTACAAATCTGGTATCATACCTAATGAATGGCTAGTAACAACAATAATAGCCATACCCAAAAAGTCTAATGCGAAACAATGCTCGGAACATCGCACCATCAGTCTCATGTGTCATATATTAAAGGTCTTCTTAAAAATCATTCACCGGAGAATATATAAAAAATTGGAAGTTGACATCGGACCCTCTCAATTTGGCTTTAGAGACGGACTAGGAACTAGAGAGGCACTGTTTGCTTTTAATGTTCTAACACAACGATGGTTAGACGTAAATCAGGACATATTTGTGTGTTTCCTAGACTATAACAAAGCATTTGATACAGTAAAACATAGGCCACTGATGCAAATACTGGAAAATAAAAATATTGATACAAGGGACATGCGAGTGATAAGGAATCTATACTACAAACAAGAAGCTACAGTACGAATTAACAGCTCGATATCAGATAGAATACAGATCAAAAGAGGTATTCGGCAGGGCTGTGTGTTGTCTCCAACCTTGTTCAATGTTTACGCGGAAGAAGTTATTAAAAAAGCTCTTATGAACGAAAAAGCCGGAGTAAAGATCAACGGTCACCCCATTTGCAATATCCGATATGCTGATGATATCGCGATCACAGCAGAAAATATTGACGACCTACAGAGATTACTAAACAAAGTGGTAGAAGCAAGTGAAGAATTTGGTCTGTCACTGAATACAAAAAAGACCAAATTCATGATAATTACAAAGAAACGTATCAATAATATCAACTTACATGTAGGACAGAATCTCATCGAACGAGTACAAAATTACAATTACCTCGGAACAAATATTAACGAGTCAAACGAATACACCAGAGAAATAAGAATAAGAATAGAGAAAGCCCGCAGTGCCTTTAACAATATGAAACAAATGTTGTGTAGCCGAAACCTAAGCCTAAAGCTGAAAATACGAATGCTTAAATGTTATGTTTTCTCGGTCCTGTTATATGGGGTGGAGGCGTGGACACTAAATAAGCAATGTATGGGTAAGCTGGAGGCATTTGAGATGTGGGCGTACCGAAGAATGTTAAAAATCTCCTGGAAGGATAAGATAACTAACCAAGTTGTATTAGACAGGATGAACAAACAAAAGGAGGTCGTATTGAGTGTTAAAATGAGGAAACTACAATACCTGGGACATATTACACGTGGGAATAAATATCAACTGTTACAACTAATTATGCAAGGAAAGATTGAAGGTAGGCGCAGCATAGGTAGGAGAAGAATGTCATGGTTGAGAAACCTCAGGGAGTGGTTTGCTTGCACTTCCATACAATTGTTCCGAGCGGCAGCCTCCAGGGTCAAAATTGCCATGATGATAGCCAACCTTCGTAGCGGAGATGGCACGTGAAGAAGAAAGCTTTAGAAAAGTACATATTGTTTAAATTATGTTATGAATTCTGCAATTTTTGATTTATATAAAACAACAATGAGTAAATATTTATTTCTTTTGAGATTAATTGCAGTTAGTTATTAGAAATTTTTTTAGCAATTACCCTTTGATAGATTAGGGGATAGATTTGGCAATCGTCAAATCAGTCGTTGCCAGATTACAATAGATGTTTGCAATTAATCTCGAAAGTATTGTTCTGAAGCTATTTTCTTGTGGCATTGTAAATTAATTACTATTAAACTGGGAATAAGCCACAATTAAAGATAAAAATACGTTTATTGTTCCAAATTTTGGAAAACAAAATATATAGAACTTTATTCAAGTTTAAAGATGTTTTAACACGTTATCAGAGAGGATTAATTACACCTCATTACAGTAAGACTCCTCATTTTTATGGAGTACCGAAAATTCATAAAACGGATATACCACTTAGACCCATTTGTAGTACCATGAATTCTCCTTGTAGTGAACTATCAAAATTTTTATTAAATATTTTAAAACCATTTACAAATAAAAATGACACATTCATTAAAAA